CCTCGCCTTCAATCCAGCCTTCGCTATCCAGGTACATTGATACATTAGATTATGTGCAGACCTATCCATATGCTCCGCCCACCGCAGCGCAAGGTCCGCCCACTTTTGTTTTTCGGGGTTTTTATAACTCCACATCCACTTGCACTACTACAAGTAATCCTGACCCAGAAATCTTGCTCCTTACAGATTTTTGTGTAAACGGAACTCGCTTCCAACTCGTTTATACGATTACTAATGCTCGCTCTGTTACATGGCGTATTCTATGGTCCAGAAATTGAAGGGTAATTCGAGGGGCACAGAAAGAGTTGAAAAGGTACTCCATGATTGTGTCGATGGAAAAAGTAGATTGGATCCTAAAGCTGCTTGTTTTATTTATTTATTTATTTATTTATTTATTTATTTATTTATTTATTTATTTATTTATTTATTTATTACTATGCACTCGTAGGTGCGCTACAATAATTCGTCAGAAACCAAATCAGTTATAAATCAGAACATCGATTTAAAATAAAATCAAATTAGCAGTATTTTACCCACAAGCGGAAGTTCTCAGACACCAATTATTCGAAATCGTTGATGCCTAATAAGGCAAGTAAGTCAATGCCATGCTTGTGCGGAAGGTGGCTGCACTTCCTCTCGAGTCATGGAATGTAAGTGTATTAGAACGGGTTTTGCGGAATGTTTGGCTATAGCGGATATTTGGGTAAATATTTATTGCTTTTGTGAGTCTCATAACCTATTGGATTCGATGAACAAATACGAAACTGGCCGGACATCATGCACAATTGGAATGTGTCGACAGATCGCGGCGACAACGTTCGCCGAACAGCAGGCGGCGGCGGTTCAGCAGTTTGCATGAAATCGTGCGAAAATCAGCTGATGCAAACACTATTCAAAAATCTTAAACTGCACCTGGTAGTGAGATCAGAACAATGCAGACCAAGGTAAAACCCTATACAATAATAAGGGAGGACTTCACACGATATTCTCGAACTACTAAAAAAGTTTCACTGGCTAATATTTTCTACACTTCTTCCGTGTTTGAAAGCTCTTTTCCATTCTGAGTTCGAGTGCATGAAATGCCTCGCGTGAGTTGGTGTAGTAGAGCAGAAGTCTGCCAAACTCCGCCCACTCACTAACCACGCCCCCCAGTGATTTGGACGAAAGCTTTCAAGCAGTCTTTTTCGTACTACGAAACATCACGTGGGCAAATAAGTTGATCACCAAAGCTCCTACGATTCTACCATTGCTTGAACTACTGTTTAATAGGCCAGAGTACCTGCTGCAGTAACAGCGCTGGGAAACTCTTCGCTTTCTGTAATTTAATCATCTAAGAAGAACGCTGCCATTGGATGAGTTCCAGGCTTCCTTTCCGTCTACTCGAAGCTTACTCACTGTCTATCACTGTTTTCATATTTATTTATTTATTTATTTATTTATTTAATTATTTATCACGCACTCAAGCTGCGCCATAAGTGTCAGTATCTTCGCGGAAGCTTTCACTACATTTTGCTTGACTTAGTGAGGACAGCTTTTATTCCTTTTTTCTGTGGACGCGACGCCTGTAAGGCAAGTTGCATGATGGTTGTAGGGTGATCAGTTTTGGTCGCCGCTGAACGTCACGGTGACAAGACCAATCCAAGCGCGCTGGGCGCGGTTGGGACTCGGCCTCCATACATCCTGCCAGCCAATGACGTCAATGACGTCATCAAAAACGCACCAAACCCTCAAGCAAAACGTGTCGCTGCCTCCAGCGTAGTAGACTACCACCTTTCTATACCAAAGGAGTAGATAATAAACGTTTGACCGCAATTTTCTGAAGGTTAGCTCGCAAAACTGTTGTAAAATGCGACATCGCCTGCACCCAGAGATATTTACGTAACGAACACTGTCTACCCAAGGACAAGCAGCGTGGCTTGACGAATTGGCTGCGAACTGTGATGCTTGTTCTCGCCATCGTAACCTATTTTTATCAACACTTCTTGCAGAACGACCGCAGTGCGGCAGATCCACCTATTTTTCAAAAATGAGCTTTTCAGTAAATTATAGTGATTTTATTATGATTTTGAGCGTAAGGGCTAATACAAACAAATTCATTTAGCTTTGATAAATGAATACTGACGGAAGGAAATCCGCGTTTTCCGCTTTGCGAAACGGTATTTGAAATTTACAATAGAAAAATATTCCCTAAGCGCTATCGGCTGAATCCAACGGAACAATTTTGTATGAACCGAGTGCATTCCGAGCAAAGTCGTGTTACGTACTTGCATTACTCAAAATAAAAAGCTTGAAATACGCTTAATTGTCATATTCTAATTCGCCAAAATGTCAGCGCATACATTCCTCGCATTCTGTAGGTTTTTCTGACTGTAACATTCAATCCTGGACGCCATCGCAAGAGGCATCCTCAATGGCTCAGCCCAGGGGCAGGCACGAGCATCGGGGAAATGAGAAATTGCTAGCAATGTGAAGCCTCTTATTCTCCACCATTTTTGGCAGAAGGAGATGTTTTGCCTGGTTTGGAATGCACCACCACGATGCCCCGCATCTTGCGATAGCGCGCATTCCCTGTTATACAGTAAAGATGAATTATTACACAAAGCAAGCATTTTGATATTGATTGATATCGATTTGTGTCGGAGATGAGGACAAGCAATTAAAATCTAATCAACATTTGAAAATCTCATATATGCTCAAGAATTGCTTGTTGAATCGGCGTGCTTCTCAAGTTCCTTGTTTCTTTCGATTTTTTTTCCAAAAAAAAGAAATAATACAAAGGTCAAAGAAAAGAGATAATGATCAATAAATTTTGTTCGTGCATACCGAATAAAAGCAGGGAATTCTTATTGTATTCAATTTTTCATATTACTTATTTATTTTTGTGTTATTTACGTGTTTTTACTCTTTTCTCAATTACATATGTAAAAGATAGGGCACTATATGAATAAAGTACATAAAATTTGTATAATGATCAGTCAAGGAATCGAGCTGAAAATCAACAGCTATTTTCTTTGGCGCAAGCGCGCAGGTCCAAGGCCAACAATTGCCTAGTTCATCCCTCGTCAGCTGGCAACTCAAGCAATAGCCGCAAGGCCATAAAGTCCACTTTCTAGCTTTAATACTCTCGACGGGAATAAAAACTTGATTAAAATAGCAGAGAATGCACTTTTTCGTTGGGAAATTTGAAGGATTTCCAACCAATTGATTTTTTAGGCCGCCAGCAGTTGGTGAAATCTTCGCTCCGGCTAAATATTGTGGTGCAGAGAAGCGCAAAGGAATACAGTATCCCAAGACGAGAGCCTGTACGGAAGCCCGTGTAGCTTGTCCCGATCCGGAAATTATCACAGGTCTGGTCTCGTTTCAAACTTTTTCTTACATCTGTTACATCTGCTTTCCAAGAAGGGAATCTACAGTGGAAATTCTCTCCTAATGGGTGAACTGTTTCAATCCTAGTAATTATTTTCGTATCTTGAATCTCGTTCAGTCTAATAAAACCTTCCACACCTAGGGGGGATCAACTAATATTGACCTCAGACTCCTGAATAACAAAAACGCAGGGTTCTACATCGTATGGACCTCATAAACTGGCCAACAGACTCTCTGAAAGGACAAAAGACTGAGCTTCACATCGGCTCAACCCATCGCAACTAACTCTTGCATGGGCTAAATTGCATCCAAGTTCCAGAGTGAATCAGAATGCGGAGGAATCCATGGCGCATTCCGAAGGGACTTTATTAGCGCTGAATGCTGTGCACTTTTTATGTTGGCGTTGCGCAAATGAGGTCATTGCTCTCTATCCTTTGGAATTCAGACTCGATTGGCGCTTGGCTTTGTTGGTGTTGAGTCATAGGTCTTCGCAAAATTTTCTTGAATTTAGAAACCGGTTCTGATTGGCGTTCGACAAAAGAGCCCAAGGTCGCGTTGACATTTGAAAAATAGAACTGTCAAAAAAAGGTCGAAGTGATTGGAACATTTCATGGACCACTAAATCCTTCCCATTGTTCGGGTTGTTCTGTATAACACTTGATGTTTAGTCGCTGAATGAGAGGGGATGATCTGGTTAATGAATACTGCATCTCAAAATGCTTGAAACAGGCTCAATTGGTCGCTTGGTGGAATTAAAGGCACCTCACAGGATAAAATTGAGGTTTAGAGGCGTGTAGTAATGAAGATTATGGTTAGGGAGTAGATTCTTAGTAAAAAGGAAGACAAAATAAACCATAGAAAACGCGAAAAGTACAAGCTCGAACTTTCTGTAATTTTGGCTTGGTATAAAGGATAAAGCATTTGCCGTTGATCAATCCCGTTTTTGGGATGCGGCACGCATTCTACTTCCATTTGTACATTCGTAGTGGCGTTTGAATGCGATGTGGCCTATACAATGACTTGCGGGGGCCAGCCGATGTTCAAGTCAGTGTTTTTATCCTCCCAGACAAGTCTGGTACCAATTAACCGACCCCGGAGGGATGGAAGGCTTGGTTGGCCCGGGCGACTCACGACCCAGGATTTGATCCCGGACCGCTCGCGTGGTAAGCGCGCCACTTGTCACTACACCACTTCCGCCCTTTTGGTTAGTGGAACGTAATAACTTCGCTATAGAGAAACGAGAAGAACGCGAGGAGAGCACATCTGTAGAGAGCACAGAGTTGTGGCGCGTTTCGCTAACGCTTGCCACGAGCGGTGGTGTACCACTCAGACCCACTAATTGGGAATTGGCAAGTCCTAGCGCCCTTTTCGCCCACTTTCGAGTCCTATGAGCACGCCGGTAACCTTCGCAAAAGCCCTATCCCACCGGACAGGATTTCGTATAACTTCACTTTATTCCGCAATAGTAACGATGTGTTCGAAATGATTTGGGGGCGAGGGGCGGCAGCCGGAGGGGCTAATGGTTTAGCACAAAGGCAAGAGTCTGTTACAATAACCGACTAACCGACCAGAAAGATGGAAGCCGTTGGTTGGCCCGCAGAACTATCAGATATGATCCCGGCGCACGAGTTGGTAGCAAGCCACTGCACTTCACCGTTTCATCCTATTGATAAATAAGGATTCACTTGCTCGACGCAGTTTTCTAAGGTATGTAGGGACCGCGCCATTATTTTTTAGGGAATGTGCGTTACTGTAGTGGCAACAGCAATGGGAACGCGCGTACAACCAACTTGCACCCATAAGTGGGTAGCCGGAATGCGGTCGGCATTGAACGAGGCGACCTGTGAAACAATTTAATCGGATGCTGCGACTGTGAGTGAGAATAATTTAAGCATTATTCTGACGATTCTGTTGTTATTCTTCGTTATTTGCGTTATTATTTTGATTATTTAAAAGAGAAAATTATCCTTCACGAGTATTATATTGTCATGCGCATCGCAAGATGCGGAGGCCTCGTCTGGATTCAATCTTAAGGCCGATGTCAGACTTTGCGAATCGCGCGATTCGCTAGCGTCTGCGGTCGCGTCGCGGCCAGTGAATCATTGGCTGGTACCGCAACGCGACCGCGGACGCTAGCGAATCGCGCGATTCGCAAAGTCTGACATCGGCCTAAGGGGGAGGGTGGAACTTTGGGGGAATGAAAATTGCTTAGACACCCTGGAGTCTCTCCTTTTCCGTGGCTTAGCTCCGTTTTCAACAAAAAAGGAGATGTTTTACGCGGCTTCAAGTGTATTACCACCACGTTCCCCCATATCTTGTGATAGCACCTATTTTCGTGTTTACAAAACGCTCAAAATAGGAAAATGATGAGTATGAAAGGAACTCGGGGCTATAACCCGATCTGTATTGATTGATATCGATTTGTGCGGAAATATCATTACAGCTTTTCAGATCAACCCTGTCACGGCAGTTATACGGTGGTGATATCACTGGCAGCGTTTCGTTGAGCACGGACGTTCTGGCGCTGGCACGGAGCCAATTCGGCGCTCTTGACGACCGAAATCAACGCCAATGGAGGGCAACGAACTTCACAGAGGTTCGCTCTGGAATCCAGGATTACTCGTTTCGCTATGAATAAGTCCGCTTTCAGTCATTCGGCTCTTCCGGGGACCACCTCTTATCGCCGAAAGCAGTGCCTGTGTGGGAGGAGTTGCCGGCAGCTGTCCGGATAGACCATGCGTCCACACTCATGGGCGCTTTGGAACAAAGTGCACTACTTCTTGCTGATTATACTGTCGACCAACACAAGAAGTTACAGTATGACTACTGGGGTGAGCAAACTGCTTCTAGAATTAAAGGGTTAGGCTCGGGCTTAGGTTAGAGTGTCAGCCAGGGGGAATGGAGTGGATAGGGATCTAAAGTGCCGAATTATCTCTATTCAGCAATGGAAATTGACGTTCATCGTCCAGAAGAATACGTGAACCCAGAAGAACGCTGCAATCGTTCCCTTCAGTGGGTCCGATGACGATCAAGTTCCGATGGACGATAACTCGCAGTTCACGCCCGTAGGAGGCAGGTACGGTACTTACTATTTACTCGTTACTTATTTATTATCTATTCACTATCTATTACCTTTTTATTCAATGCCCGTAATATGTGGTAGATACGTCGACTTGGAAATTTATGGGTGATCCATCAATTAAGCCCTGCTCTTCAGGGTGCGTTTATAGTTTTTGAAGACACTGTCACTTCACAGCGGCGTAACACCCCATATTTCCCAACATTGAGTCGTGACAAACTGCAGTCATATCTTTTTGTGATCCTTCATGCGCACTTGTGCGTTTTTGTGATCACTGGGCGTTGAGAATGTTCCTATCGTCATTCGGTTAACACTGCCGCGTGCGGATGCGTCGCGGCAACGGCATCACTTTAGACTTTATTTGATGTTGAATAAATACAAGACTATGGGAAGAGCTTCGAGAATCTTTCAAAGAAAAGTCTATTCACGAGGACAAAAAAAGCAATTGGAGTTGGAAAGTCCCTAACAGATGTTGCTTAAAATCGCTGCCGTGACGCTACCGCGCGCGGCACATAATTGCTTATACAAAGCCACTTCCTTGGATGCTGTCTCATAATTGATCAACAAGTAGTAACTTCATTCTTTCAGTCGCTGCCAGCAGCGCCAGCTGCAGCTCCACCTCCGCCCACTACTGTACAATTTAGTGGATTCAGCCAATCGCCGATCATTACTTTACCGTCGCTGGATATTCTCAGTGAGTGATTGAGTTGATATGATCCAAGTGATTGCAATTCTGAAGATGTGAATGAACTGGATCTTTTCAATTTCTATCAATAGAATTTAGAGCACTA